ATGTTGTTTATTTATTATTTCTTGCCTATATCTTGTAATATGAGAAACTACTTTGGCAGTAACAATACACAATGTACTAACCATTGTTACTCTCTTAAAATCTTGTTTTGAGATTTTGTACCATTGTTTTTATTTTTTTTCCTTTAAAATAAAATAACTGATGTCAAAAAACAAAACAAAACAAAAAAAACATTGTGACTGGAGTTGTCACAACACACCCTTCCTTTGCCAGGTGCATTCTTCTCAGAGGACATGGAGACTATGGAGCTGCATCCCAGCGTATGGTTTCTCTCCTTTCCCCTGAGAACCATGGCTGGCGTTAGCCTTCATGGCCCCCTCTGCCCACCACGAAGGCAGCTGAGAAGGGTGTGCACCCACATCTCTCACAAGATAGACGCTCAGATCCCAGCGCATCAGCCAGGCCCCTGCCACCTCCTCAAGTCCCGAGCTTTGTCCAGAAGATGGGATGACTTTTAGGTTGCTGTTGTCTTCCTCCTCCTTTACCTACAATCACACTGGGCTGTGAAGTTCACAGGATCAGGACGGGTCCAGCCTATTCTACTCCAGCTCGACTGTTTTATTTGTGGTTCAACCCCACACACTCAGAGCTGGATGACTTGTGCTCAGCTAAAACCTCTCCCTACTTCTTTAGGTCAGAGTATGGAGCTCACAGAGCCTGAGTGACCTGCTCAAGGATGCCCAGGGTAGGTAATCACAGAGCTGAGAACAGGAAGTCCACACATTCTTGGGTCTGGGGTATTCTGTCTCTGGTGAGTGAAACAATGAACGATTCATCAACCTGAGGTGGGTTCTTACCTCCTGTTGGGCAGCTGTGCTGAGCTTGGATACTGCTATCTTGCCTCATATGTAAAAATACAACTGGAATGTTCTGGAAGGCAAGAAGCCCTCTGTTTATCTGTAAAGAGGGACTACAGGAGCTGAGCATGGTGGTGCATACGCCAACCTCACCACTCTAAGAGGCTAAGGCAGGAGGAGCGCCAGTTGGATCCCAGCCTGAAAAACTTAGCAACGGAATGAGACACTGCCTCAGAACAAAATTTACAAATGGTCCAGGGATGCAGCTCAGTGCAAAGGCTCTGACTTAAATCCCCAGTACCACAAGGCAGGGGAAGGGGGCCACACAAAGACTACCCCAAGCCAGTGGTTTTCCACTGAGGCAACCATCCTGTCTGGGGAGGATATTGTATAGAGTGGAAAAACAAAAACAAAACAGTACTAGGAGTTTAGTTGGAAAACAGATAAAAACATTTTAGGGTTTTTAATACAAACTGCAGATCAAGAAGCTGTTCATGTCCTCTTTGCAGTAAGCAATGGGCACAGGCACAGGGACAGCGACAGCTGTCCCCGAGGAAATGCTTCACGACGACGCGCTCTCAGTTCTCAGCTCGCAGCTCAGCCCCTCTGCGAATGATGCAGCAGCTGCTGCTGGTTGTCCACACGTTCAGCAACAAGTGGCCAAGGGTCTCAGGGGGGTACAGAGAGGTGCCCTGAAACCTGGCTCCAACCTGTCCCGAGGGCTAAGCGAGCGATAGATCGATGGGAGCAGCCCCAGTACCGCAACGGTGGCCAGCGCGCTCTGATCTCTAACTGCAGACTCAGCTTAAGGACCGAGGGTTAGGTAAGTGAGCAGGTGGGCAGGGGGTGCTGGGGGAGCCCTGAAAACAGGGCAATGTGCCTGCGGAGCTTTCTCTTAAGGTGATTGCGAAGACACAGAGGCAGGGAGGGACACTAGGAAATGAGACGACACACCGCAGCCAGGGACAGCTTGTGTTTAGGAGCAAAAATGTAATGTGCAAATGTCAACCTCAAAGTTCAAAGTAGGGGAAAGTATCCGCCAGCGAAGAACAAGGTTCCAGGAGGAAGAAGCGCCACTCTGAGTGTTACATAACCCACTGGCTTCAACCCTGCCATGCTGCGTTAGCACTGTCTCTCTTGGGCATAAACCTGGGTAGGCGGTTTTTAAATTTTTGTTTTAAAATGTGTTTCTTCAGCTTGCTTTTTAGCAGGTAAAATAACCTCTGCCTATCGAGGGCTCTGCAGGGGAGGGAAAATTTCAATTTTGCACAATTTAGAAGAGATTCTCTAGCAAGCTTCCTCCAGCGGGTCCCCAGGGTCCTTACTTGGTATTTTAGGCAGCAGCCCATCTGCCACTTGTTTGGGACAGCGAGGGAAGGAGAGGCAGGGACAGGGAACAGGGTGTTTGAGACCAGCCTGCCTGCCCAGGTTCACCTTCCATCCCTGAAAGAATTTTCCCCTCTTCTTTTGATGGGCTGAGTCATGTCCCTCAAATTTTTTAGGGTAAAGCCCTGACCCCTCTTGGGCTTCAGAATATGACTATATTTGGAGGTAGGTTCTAAGGAAATGCAGAAGTTAAAATGAGGCCATGAGGAGGGTCCTAACACAACATGTCTGCTATCCTCATGGGAAACGGCAGTGAGGACTCTGGCAGGCCGGGGGAGGACGGTGAGAGATGACCTTCTCCGAGGCCAGAAGCAGAGGCCCCAGAGACACAATCTATCTGCAGACCCCATGCTTTTAGGTCCCAACCACCAGAACTGTAAGGAAGTAATGTTGTGTGGCTTAAGCCTCCAGCACAGGCTGCAGACTCGGACTGCTCTGCTCCTCTCCCAGGCCACTTCTCTTCCTATAAACATCTGTCCTCCCTTTCCACACCTAATCCCTGTTTTTCTCACTTTCAGAGCCACTGTCTGGCTTTTGAAACATATAAACAGAACATTTTTGCTGTTTCCTGAAGTTCAGCTGCAAAATGTGGAGGAAGAAAGGAAATACCACCCAACCCTTCTTGCTCTTACCACCTGCCCCATGAGGCCTCGCTGGGTTCAGCAGGGCCTGACGCTCGAACTGGGGAGGTGGCAGCATGCGCGTCCCATTCCTCTGAATGGGCCTGGCTTCTGTAGGACAGTGCAGAAAGGCCTGCCACCTAGAAATATAACCCATCGCAGCTCAGTGCTGTCCACTCCGATTAGAGGTTCACATTTTGCTGGGTGGGAACGTTAAAGGTAGCTGTTGTAGCCAGACCCAATGGCACATGCCTGTAACTCTGACACTCAGAGACTGAGGCATGAGGTGGCATGTTTGAGCCTAGCCAATTTAGCAAGACCCTGACTCAAAGTAAAAAGTGAACAATAAAGGCTAGGGTTGTGGCTTAAAGCAAAGGCCCTGAGTTCAATTCCCCTGTCCCACAAGGAAAAAAAAAATGTAGCACTTTTGAATTGTTTATCTAATAACCAGTGTGATTTCTTTTCTTTGCCGAATCCAATCGCTTCTGGTCCTGTAGAAGGAACTCTTTGACTTGTAAGACAGACCAAAGAAAAGTACCCTAGTATCACTGAAAGGCATACAGTTTTAAACAAAACCAACCCGCTTATAAGACAGGCAGAAAATAAGAGATTACCTGTAATGACCCAGTAGTCTCTGGTTGTTTCTGATATATCAAGATTGGGATATTCCAGTGCTAAAAGGAACAAGAAACACATCAAATTACTTTTATAGGTTTTATATGCAAATATTATCATTAACTGGAACATAGAATTGACAAACAGGCGAGCAGCTAAATTCTGCTTTGTCATGCTTGATAACTCTGGGAGATAAAGCCAAAATATCTTGCTCTTAAGAAAACTAAAACAGTCAGGAAAAGTTCAACCTTCTGATGAAGGACTGTTGGGGTCTGTAGGTTTCTGCTCTTTGAAGTTTTCCATCCAACCCCTCTTAAATAGAAAGAACCTCATCAAAACCCATGCCTTCAACCTGTCTGAGCTGGGACTCTGTCTTTTAAAATTATCCAACCAGCATTAAAATCACTAGGAATAATTAACTCAATGACAATGGATTTTCCCTAGGTCAAGGGCTTAAGTTTAGCAGCCAGACACTGGTACCAATATGCCTCCTATTGCTTTACGAGGATGGTGGACTGTGGGAGATAATGCACGTGAAGGACATGGGATGGTGTCTGGGATATAGTTAGTGCTCAATAAACCTTAACTGTGGTTATCAGATTATCGTGATGAAAACAAATTCTTCACATGCTTCCATGTCACATAATGCCATCACTATAAGACATCATCTTTTCTGTAAAACCCAGAGCCATCTTTCCTTACTCGATGAACATATCCAACAACTTGCCAATAAATGTACAAAAATTTTCTAGTGTCCAGTATGTGCTAAGTACCCCTTTTCTACATATGGTCTCATTTATTTATAGCATCAAAAACAACAGTAGCAGGAAATTAGGAAACAACTTTGCTAATATGTGCTTTAAAAAAAAAAAAATCCTGCCCAGAGACTTCATAAAGTGTGAAATTGATTAAATGTAGGAACATAAACCTTTGCTTCCTCTGGCTACCAAGTAAGCATTTGGGGACAAAAAGTAGGCTGCATTGTCTTGGAGGTCTATGGGAGCTGCATGGTAAGGAGCATTATGTAACTGAGCAGTAGAGAGCGATGAGGAGGCCACGGACTCTGTGGACTTTGTCACGACGCCGGCTGCAAAGGGGTTGTGTCACCATACCCATAGTCACAGCAGGGCTGGGAGGTCTGGGAGCACTGGCTGATGGCGGGGGTGGCAGAAAACCATAGCAACCTAGATTATCTCCGGGGAGAGATGCCCTCTTAGGCAGCGCTATGGGCATGCAAAGCAGATTACTGGGGGTCACATCCCATTCCTCCGTCCATTTGTTATGGAGGAGTGGGTATCCTGTGAACCTTAAGTTTTTTCTTCTAAGTTTGCACCCGTCTTCTAGGATGGTTGTGAAGTTTCAATGAGGTAAGAGCTGGGGATGGGACAGTTACCTCCCGAGTGCTTTCCTACAACATGCAATGTGCTGTTCATCAACTCAACCCCAGCGAGCACAGTTTTCAGTTCTCATTTTAGTACAGCAGGGGCAGCACGTGGCCTGGGGCCACAGGCTTGCGCTTCGCCATGTGGCCGTACTCACGTTCGGCAATGGTGAGCGGCGGGTAGGTGAGGTAGAATCCCACCAGCTCGGCAGAGAGCTGGCTGAGGAGGCTGCTGGCCACGGTGCCATTGAGGAAAGAGCTCTGGTTGCCCACAACGTACACCAAGGTGACGGCCTGGGAGGCGTTAGACGTGCTCAGGATCTGAATCGACACAGGGGGAGAGGGGAGGGAGACATGCCAAATAAGAGGAGGGCCTGTTTCACAGAGGCTGTGGGAGGCGAAGTCTAAGCAGAAACCAAGAATAGGGATGGAAGGGCGGTTGGGAGAAACAGCAAGGGAGAGACAAGAGTAACAACAGATATCATTTACTGCTCACACGCTGCATGCCAGGCTGTGTGCTAAAGGCTGGCTTATATACACGCGCAAACACCCTAGGTCACGTAACTGGCCATGAATCCCTTTTACAGGTGAGGAAACTGAGGCCCAGAGTGTTGAAGAGTCTTGTGCAAGGTCAGAGAGCTCAAAAGGGATGGTTGGGATTTGAACCAGGACTCAGGCTATTCACCACTACAATAACGTTCTGGGGCTTTCTGCTGTCTCAAGGAACTTTTATGATTTTGAAAATATAAAACAGAGTGTAGGAATGTTAAGAGGGCTCAATGACACTAGGAAGAATGTATGCAATGTGTGAATTATTGAAACTGTCCTACCAATTTGATTTGAAACTGTCTCATTGCTATTTGTTTATCAATAAAATTATGGGGAAAAAAAAAGAGAGGGCTCAATGACACAGAACACCATGTCAGACTCTTAAGGAATTTTAGGGCTGAAAGCAGCAGCCATGCACGTGGAGACGTGATCATCTGCCTGCGTACAGCAGAGAAAAGAACTTGATGATAACTGAATTCAGAAATACAACATGTTTTCTGGAGAGAAATTACATTCATTTTGTGGTTTATTCATGCCACATAGAACATGTTTTTAAAATCCTATGAGGTGACATCGTTTTCTTCTCACATTTTGTCTAATTTCATTCCTTAGTTGTGGGAAAATGAGGTTTTCTGGGTCAATGTAGGGACAAAAATAGCCCCCAGATGAGATTTGAAGAACATACGCCGGAGGAAGTCATTGGCTTGGCGAGATATTTTTGCAAAGTTCTGCATTTGTCCTCTTGTACCCCAGATCCGCTTGTCACCCACCCTGCTCTATGTCCTGCAAGTGGACCCTTGGGGGGATGTCCACCCGACAGGTTCTTTCCTGCTGGTTTCAGCTAAGGATGGTTCAGCAGACACAGACCTAGGGTGGGAGGAAGACCAGGGGATTGGTACCTGGTGTCCCTCCCCACAGGCCAGTAGGGCCCTGGAGGTGCAAACTGTCCCCATGAACAGTTCCACAAGAGGGTGCTTTCACTGAACTCCCCTCAAATTACATACTTTGAGTACATCCTGTCCTTCTGGTGAGGGGCTGACTGCCCCCCACCCGGATTGCTCAGAATTTTATTTAATTTATTTATTTAAAGATGGTTTATTTATTTTTTAAATTTATTTATTTTTTTTTTTGTGTGTGTGTGTGTGTGGCCAGCTCAGTCCACCAGGGGGCAAGGCTGGCTGGCATGTGGTGCTGGGGGATTGAACCGCGGTCCCTGTGCTTTGCTCAGCTTAGCTTGTCCTAAGTAGGTGTTTTAGACCACTGAGCCTTCTCACCAGCCCTTGCTCAGAATTTTATATCAAAATCTCATCCTTGGAATACTTCTCTCAAATCTGACTAGGAAGAAGGCTGTGTTTCTTATTTTTTCCCACATGTGTATGCATTTTTCTATTTCTCTGGAATTGGTATGGCTCTGTCCTAAGGCACCAAGAAGGACACTTGTTTCTGAATAATCCAAAAGACCTCACCATCCTGACACCTAAAAAATATACCTAAATAATAGCTTAAAAGATAGATTTTCAGGATTGAAGACAGAACCAGGTGGAAAAGAGTTTGCCTTGTACGTGAAAGACCCAGCGTTCCACACCCAACAACTGGAAGTAATAACTTCTCAAGCTTTATCTGTTGTGAATGCTCTTTTTTTTTTTTTTTTTTCAAGCTTCGACACTACTCAATCTCTCTGAATCTCCAAGAAGTCTTTAAAACTTGCACTATGAACACCTCTGAAGATACCACATCTGGCCAATACATGATACTTTTTATTGTGGTGAAATATATGAAAGAAATTTACTAGTGCAACCACTTCAAGGTACACAGTTCGGCGGCATTAAGCACACGCACAGTTATGCCACCATCACCAACATTGATCATCAGAACTTTTTCATGATTCCAAACCCTAGCTGTACCCATTAGACAATTCCTAATATGTCCCGTCCAGCCCCTAGCAACTACCACTCTACTTTCTAGACAATTCTTATGAATAAAGCCACTTTGGGTGTTTTGTTTTGGCAGTACTAATGACTACACCCAAGGCCTCTGTAATGAGCTAAATTCCTAGTCCTTTTATGTTTAATTTTGAGACTGTAAGTCTCTAAGTCATCGAGTTACCCTGAGTGGGCTCAAGCTTGTAATCAAGCGAGCTCCCTTTGCCTCAGGTTCCCAGAGCACTGGGAGTACAGGTGCATACCAGCTAGCCTGGCTGAGATCACTTATTAATTGCACAACTCAGACATAAGAGCAAGTAGACAATATTTATCCTCTTGTGCCTGCCTGTTTTCACTCGGCAAAATGTCCTCAAGGTGCATTCCTGTTGTACCAAGAGTCAGAATTGCCTTTATTTTCAAAGGCTGAATAATAGTCCACTGTATGTAAGCATCGCGTTTGTTCATCCAGGTACACAATGATGGACGCTTGGGCTGCTTTCACCTCTCAGCTGTTATACACAGTGCTGCTGTGAGTACGGGTGTGTTCGTACCTGTTTGCACCTGCGCTTTCAACTCTTCAATACATATTCAGAAACAGAACTGCGAGGTCAGATGGTAATTCTCTAATTTTATTTTATTTTATTTATTTATTTTTGGCGGAAATGGGCATTGAACTCAGGCCCTTGTGCTTGCCAGGCAAGTGCTTATTCTACTGAGCTATCTCCCCAGCCCCAGTTCTCTAATTTTTTGAGGAAGCATCATCCTGCTTTCCACAATGGCTGCACCACTTGGCGCTCCCACTAGCAGTGCACAAGTATTCTAATTCACACTCTCACCAACGTTTTATGATATGCTGGTTTTGTTTTGTCTGGTTTTGGAGAATAGACATCATAATAAATTGTAGTGTGTTGTGTTTTTTCATTTATATTTCTTTAATGATTACTAGTGTAGATCAACTTTTTTTTTATGTATTAAGGACAAAGTCTACAGGGTCTCACTAAGTAGATCGGATTCGTAGTGATTCTCCTGTTTTCAGTCTCCCAAGTGTTGGGATTACAGATGCATGCCCCAGGGGTGGGGCCGGCACAGTACCCTGGGGATGGAACCCTGGCCGCTGCACTCTGCCTAAGCAGACACTTTAGACCACTGGGCTATCTGGTTGGCCTTTAGATCAACGTTTTATGTCCCTACTGGTTATATATATTTTTGGAGAAATGTCTACTCAAGTCCTTTGTCTACTATTAATTATTGGGTTTTTTTTTAATTGTTGAACTGTAAGAGTCCTTTATATGTTTTGGACATTAACCGCATATGTCAGATTTGTAATTTATAAATATTTTTATCCAGGGCCAGCCAAATAAGAGTGCCTACAAGCAGGAAAAGAGGCCAGGGGTTCGATCCCTGGCCCTGCCATGCCAGCCCCACCCTCCAGGGCACACTGAGAGGACAATTGAGACTGGGCGTGGTGGCACGTGCCTGTAATTCCAGCTCTTGGGAGGCTGTAAACGGAAGAATCACTATGAGTTCAATCTAGTAGTGAGACCCTGAACACCATGTAGATCTTTCCCTAAAATACAAAAAAGAAAGAAAATATTTTTATCCATTCAGTAGGTTGTCTTTTCTTTAATCTTTTATTTATTTGGTACAGGGTCTTGCTATGCAGCTCAGACTCCTAGTGATCCTTCTATTTCAGTCTCCCCAGCTCTGGGATTACTGGCATGTGTCATCATGCCTAGTTTTGGTGGCTGGCACAGTGTGCCCAGGGTTCCAGGGCCAGCACAGCGTGTGGTACCAGGGTTTGAATCCAGGTCCCTGCACTTTCCAGGTAGGTGCTTAGACCACTAAGCTATCTCCCCAGCCACTAGTAGGTTGTATTTTCACTTTGCTGACAATGTGTTTTGTAAGACAAAAAAAAAAAAAAAAAAAAAAAAAAAAGAGTTTTTAATTTTTATGAAGTCCAACTTCTTTATTTTCTTCTTGTTGCTTATGTGATTCTTCCTGTCATATTGGCCTATCTAACAAATGAATTTTTTTTTTAGATCCTAAGAATCTGCACTTTTAGTCCTTGATCTATTTGGAGTTAATTTTTTTCTTTTTTATTCTTTTTTAATGTATTTGGTACAGGGTTTCACTGCACAGCTTGGACTCATAGTGATCCTCCTGTTTTCAGCCTCCTCAGCGCTGGGATTACAGGCCGGCACCACCACACCAGGTCTCTGTAGCTGGCTCAGCACGTCCAGGAGCGGGGCCAGTGCAGCATGTGGTACAGGGGATTGAGCCCCAGTCCCTGTGCTTGCATAAGCAGGTGCTTAGTCTGCTGAGCTATCTCGTGGGCCTTTATTTGGAGTGAATTTTGCTAGATGATATTAAGCAAAGGTTCAGCTTCATTGTTCTGCATGTGGCCTTCCAGTGTTTCCAATCTGTTGAAAAGATTTTCCTTCTCCCATTGGATAGTTGTGGCACTCTTCCCACACGATCACATTAAAAATGATTTGGTTCTGGGCTCTGTGTTCTGTTCCAGTGTCCTGTATGTCCAGCTACATGTGGGCACCACACTGTTTCAGTGGTCATAACCTTATATTCAGCTTTGAAATCAGAAGGCGTGAGACCAAGATTGCTTCTGTTGAAGGTCTCTTGAGAGTCCATTTGAATTTTAGAAAGCATTTCTCTATTTCTCAAAAATAAAAGTCACTGGGATTTTGATAGAGGTAGCACTAAATTTACAGATTACGCTGGGGGGGTAGCACTGACATCTTAACCATTTTAAGTCTTCCAATCCATGAGCACAAGCTGTGTCTGTATTTACTTTATCTTATTTAATGTACTCAGTTTTTTATAGCTAAGGAAACTGATCATGACCGGTGACTATGCCAGCTCTAAAAATACGAGGTCCACAGGCCTGGATCAAGTTCACTGCAGTAGCCCCTGGACGTCGTGCCCAATCCCCACCAGTCCCTGCAGAGGACTGCTCCTATCGGCCCTTTACTGCTGCGTGCCTGTAGCTTCTCAGTCCACCTCTCCCTTATTCATTCAAGCCATATTTGTTGAGCTAACTAGACCTACAGGTAAATGCAGCCGAGTACTGCTGCTTTACATGACCAATATCCATTCTCCTCTTTTCTACAACAGCACCTGTTTTCTTTGGGGAGTCACCCCTCCTCTCTTTTCTGTGTATGCCCCTTGGATAGGGGGCTCGCCCCATCCAAGCTCCAGGAGGGGTCATCTAAGGCAGGCTTAGGTGAGTGGGACAGGTCATCTCCTTGGCCACCATCACTGATCCAGAAATGGGCACTGCAGGTCCAATGAGAGCCAATCCCAGGATTCTGATGGAAATAACACAAGCAAGGCACTTTGGTTCCACAAAAACAAGCAGAAAGAATGGGGAAAGCCTGGAAGTGCCAGGGCCACCCAATGGCGCTGAGGATGATGCCAGCCCAGAGCAAAGCAAGCTAAGGGATAAGAAGAAAACTCCATGGAAAAGTCACTGAAGCACCTGGAGCTGGCTGTACCTAAGCAAATAAGGTGTGAATTTTTCAGCTGCAGGAGCAAATAACTTCCTGTTTTTGCACTAGCCTTGTAAGCTTGGGATCTGTGGCGACCAATCCAGTTCTGAGACAACTGTAACTCAGTCCCCGGTACCAAAGCTATACAAGTCTTTTCTTTAAGTCACTTTCTCAATGATTTTCTGAATGGATGGATGAATTATTCACAAAGAATGCAAAATTGCTTTACAAAAAGATTTGGTAAGTGGTTGGGATAGATATATAGTTGCATTCTCTTAATGAATAGAATGATTTTTTCTAATGGTGTTTGTAAATAGGATCACAAGTCTGCATCTTGTACAGCAATTAACCACTAAGAAGAATATATGCAGTGTATTATTTGTTGAAACTGTACTTTCGATTTGATTTGAAACTGTCTCATTGCTATATGTTTATCAATAAAACTTTGAAAAGAAAAAAAAAGATTTGATAAAAGTTGTATTATATATTTATTTATATTCCTGTATTCTATATAATAAAACTGAAAAGTTATTCATTATGAACCCAGGTCTTACAAAAAGACTGCAAACCATGTGTTATGGTTTGTGTCTAGATGTTCCCCCAAGGCCTCATGTGGTCACAGGACTTTTTTAGAGGTGGCTGAATCTACAGTGAATGATGTTGGGATTGAGGGTATGTGATGATTAGTAAATCAGATCCCACGGTTCTGGCTGGGATTAATGGTGTGAGTGCTACAGCTACCCTAGGCATACAATGTAAGAGACAGTAAGAGTCTTGTCCCCCTCCTTTGCTTTGCTGTCTTCTGGCCACCACAAACTGGTTCCCCCTTCTTGGTTTTGCTGCCTTCCACCACCATGAACTGCTGCCCTCTGTCACATGCCACCCTACCTTGGAGCCCACCAATTATGGATGGAAACTCTCCAAACTGTGAGCTCAGTAAATCTTTCCCCATTTAATTTCGAGGTTGGGTATTTGGCCGAGCAATGAGAAAAGTAACTAAGACACCACAAGAATAGTTAGTATGTAGTGATGTATGTATGACACAGGGGCCAAGAGGGTTGCTAAATCCAGGGAACAAATTCTGGGCTTCCTGTCAGTGAAGGCTAGAAATGAAGTGGGGTTAATAAAATAATCCGACCAATTAGCCATTAATTTCAAGAGCTTTCAATATGTTCAAGAGCATCTCAACTCTATTTAGACGAGATATGCAAATTACCTCTTGTCTTTCCAAGGAAGGTTTGTTATTTGATTAACAATTCCCCTACTGGTCTAGAACTAGTACACAAAACAAGGCTTCTTAAGGCCAAGGGCAGCTTATTTCTCTTGGTGTCCCTCTCACTGCCTAATAAATAGCAGGCACTCAATAAGTCTGTGTTTCCCGAATAAAATTTAAATAGGTTCTGCTGCCAAGATCAAACTAGGCTCATGCACCTGTGAGGATCACGAATTCAATCAGGAAAAAAAAAAAGATTCCCCACAAGAGAGCTGAGTCACACTCCTTACATAAATCTTAAGTCTATGACACATTTTTAGATCTTAGTCTAATAGGAGCCCAGTCATGATGAGATACTTCCCAATATGTGCTGGGTAAGTGTAGGAAAGGAGAGCTGCTTATTCAAATTAAATTGTATGCTTTCTACATCAGATTGGCTTTGCTGATAATTCACTTAAATGTCAATTTCAAAGACACTGGGTCTAATTGCAAAGGCTTTAGTTCAGTAGACAAAACAGAGACACTGAATAGTAGAGTTAATTAGAGAGATTTGGGGGCTGGGCGAATATGATTAAGAAGCGTCTGTTCTTAGTGGAATGATAGCTACAGAACTGCAAAAATTGGTTCTGAGAAAGGCTGTTAGTGGTGTGTACACTATTATCCAAGTAGCTGAGCTCTGTGGGGAACCAAGGGTGGGGCTTCTCTAGAAAAGAACTCCTGTGCTTACAGAAGTTGCTAGATGTCCCCCTTTCTGTGTTGCATCGCTGGGAATCAGTGCAGAAGAGGATGGACTTTGGGTTCAAGTCTTGTCACACTCCTTTCCAGCCATGTAGCCTTCTAGAAGTTGTCTAAGTTCAACGTTCATTCCCTCTCAGAGAAAACGAGGGTGAAAATTTCTCAGAAGGATGTCTTGAGTATTACGGAGCAAAATATTTGCAAAACATCTATCATAATTCTTGGCATATAGTAAGTCCTCAATATTGTGTGTGTGTGTGTGTGTGTGTGTGTGTGTGTGTGTGTGTGTGTGATGACTGTTCATCTGGGTACCTGGAATTAGCCCAGTGCAAAATCTTGATGAGTTAGCTATTTAAAACTCATTCATTCATGTATTCACTACGATACATTTATTAGTAGATTCTAGCTAAAATTTTTAAAATAATAAATGTTTTATGAAAGTCTGAGGAAGCATCGTATAAGAAAATAAATAAAAACTCCAAGCCACAGTAGGTGTGCAGTGATACATCAGCCCTCCTGTCACAGCCCAACCCTAGACATCCTCACCAGGGTCATGACTTTGGAGTCCTATCACCTACCCTACACAGAAAGTCACACTTACACAAGGCAGCCTTGGGGTGTGGCGGGGGGAGCCCCATATCATTTCTCACCAGCACTGGCACTGTGGTTGTGGAAGAAGCCCCCTCCTCCCTACCTGCACCTTCAGGTTGCTTCTGGTGTTGAAGACTTTTCTCTCTGCATCCTGAAATGCCTTCTGCAGCCTCTGCTCCATGGTCTGAGCAAACTTACAGGACTGTATGTTGTCAGATTGGCCCACAAACTGTAGCACTAGAATGAGAATCACACACGGCATTTGCCAAAGCTCCACATCTTAGTTCCTTAGACCTTATAGCAGTTTTGATCTAAAGCAGCATGACTTTAGGCTAGAGAAATCAGGCAAATAAACAAAGACCAGGCGAAGTTTGATTATAGGTTTGAAATTGACTCGTAATGGGATTAGTACCAGAGAAAAATCAAAACCATGACCCAAGCTGAGATTCCCTCCATTGTAGAGGATGTTATGATTTTATTCAATTGAAATATGCAGGCATCTGCTCAAAGACTGACAAATAATAACTTCTATTATTATAGAGATCATGCCTTCTATGTTTTTGGAGGAGGAAAAATCAATTGACCTCCATTACTAAGTTGATTGCATGTTTCCATCTCAATGATTTCTCCACTCTGTGGTTTACACACTCTGCAAATCAGAAGTCACTAGGGAGACTAAAAAAAAGACAGACTCTGGGGCTTAAGCACAGAGGTTTGAATTCAGCGATGCTGGGAACGCCCTGCTCCAAACCATAGATTTTATGGATACTCAACTCTTATTAGCATCTTTGGGAAAATACAACAGTAAGTGCTCATACACACTAATTGTATAAATTGGGAAGAAAAACTCTGCGATAAAGGGCTGGCCAAATAGCTCAGCGGGGGCCAGGCATTCGATCCCCGGCCTGCCGCGCCGGCCCCGCCCCTAAAGCTAGCTGAGGCGGCAATTGAGCCTGGGCGCGTTGCTGCGCGCCTGTAATCCCAGCTCTTGGGAGGGTGTAAACAAGCGGTTCACTGCGACTCTTATTTAATAGTGAGACCCTGAACGCCCTGTAGACCCTTCCCTAAAATACAAATAAAAAGAAAAGAAAAACGTTGTGATGGACCATTTCTACTACATTCAGGTTTAGAAAAGGCTGATGTGCAGAGGACTTGGACATTTGATTAGTGGGGCCCTTTGAAGAAGACACACAGGGACATAAAATGTGACAGAGCAGCTAGCAGTGGATTTTGTAAGCAGCGTCCCTATGATACGTATGGATGGCCCCTGACCCCACAACTTACACAAATCCTTTCCTTCCGGGTTACTTGCCTGTTTTCAGTTGGAAGTAGCCGGCAGGCTGGGGCTTCCATGGAGAGGCAAGGACTGCCACAGACTGTAAGTTTGGGGTATGCTGCTTCAGATCTGCAGTGACGTTGCTGACTCCATAAACTCCTAGCATTTCCATCACAACAGCAGGCAAGTACACCAGCCTCCCTTTGGTAGCATAATAACCAATGGAGACATTATGAGAATGCTCCAGAATGTCCACCTACAAAACAAATGGACCCCAGAACTTACTGCTTAGTCCTGCAATACTTTAAGTTCTTCTAATGTTTCTCAGAGCCACAGCTGTTACTTAGTAAGGCTGGGAAACAGGGCACTTTTGTTCAACAAGTATTCTAACAATCCTTTAAAGTGTTATGTAGATTGCTAGACTTCAAAGCATCATAATACAACAAAATAAAATTGACATCAAATTTACCTGGAATGAAATTCAACTTATATGTTTTGCATTCCTTAAGGGCCACAGGATAATCCTCTGAGCAATAATTATCACCAAGAAGCCAGAGAGGAGACAGCAGACAGGAGAGACTTCAGATGAATGGAATGCTGGGAAAATAGCTTTATTCTATGTCTCATCACTCAGGAGAATTAAAAGGCAGAAATGATAAATTAAGTGAGTCACTTCAGGGACTGAATTAAGAAGTCCAGTGAGCTCCTCTGTCAGGCAGCAGAGGGGACACTTGTTCAGCCTCGGCCTGGCCCTTTGCCTACACACTGCTTCCAGGCCAAGGCGGGGCTGAGCCACAGAGGGCTTTCCTCATAGGCAAGGCCTAAGGCAATTGCAGGCCAAGGCAGGACTGAGCCACAGAGGGCTTTCTTCATAGGCAAGGCCTAAGGTACAGCGATGGACGGTGGCCTGGGCGATTTCTGCTTCTGAGGGGAGATCCTGAGACTTGTACTATGAATAACTACTAGAAAGACAACAATATGCAATGTATTAATTATTGTAACTACCCTAGTAGGCTGTTCTAAAACTGTCTCATTGCTACTTCTTTCTCAATAAAATTAATATTTTAAAAAAAGATTTATTTGATGCTGCTTTCTTGGTGCTGTAGGCTCACAGTTCCCAGCGTTTGTTGTTTTTCTCTTCACATATTAAATATAATGCTTATTATAGAACTAGCTTTTATGACAAGGAGAGAAGGATAATAATTACCTCTAGTATTACTACTATCACCATGATACAATTGGAAAAAACTTCCAACTATATCACCTTCTGTTATTTGTCCTTAAAACTACAAATTTCATATACATGTATATGTATATTTCCAGACATAGGTAAATATATATATATATATATATATATATATATATATCATACACATACATATACTCATGTATGGTAGATACTGCTTTGTAACCTCTTTTTTAATATTTATTTCTATTCTCTTTCTTGCACATGTTTGCAGTACATGATGATTACAGTTATCATGGGGAGTTGGAACATGCACGTAACACATCTTAATTCTTTTTTTCTCTCTCTTCTTCATCCCTTCCTCTTCTCTTCCCTCCCTGCTCCTTCTAATATAACCTCTTTTTTTTCCCCCCATGCTAGGGATGGAAGCCAGGACCTTGGACATGCTAGGCAAATGCTCTACCCCTGAGATACACTCTCAGCTCCCCATCTTTTTTAATTATAGCAAAGTATACATCCACATGCAATCTACCATCTTAATCACCCTAGGTATACTGTTTGCTGGGATTGAAGAGCTACAGCAAGGCAACAGCCAGTACCGTCGTTCATCACTTCATCTTGTAAAACTGAATCTCTCCATCTGGGTGTTTTGGACACCACTCCCCTCCCTTATCCTTGCATCTCTGGGAGGACTGTCCTGTGGGGCTAGAGGTGTAACTCAGGTGGAGAACACTTGCCTAGCATGGGCGAGGCTCTGGGTACTGTGTTCAATACCAAAAAACAAAACAAAAAAACAGAGTCATGGGGATGTTCCATGGAAATCAAGGCAACTGATTTTGTAACAGGACTGGTATGTGGTGGCCTCTCCACTGCATCCTCCATTGTGTCTTTTCTCCTAAAGATAGTGGAAAAGATGATTGTGGGTGAAACCAGGGAAACTTCAAGGTGGACCATGGACACAACCTAAAACAATACCAACTACCCAGTGTAAAGGCTGCTTCCTTTCCAGCCCTTGGAATTAATTCAAAGAACAAGACTTGCTTTGGGTACTCTTTACACTCACACCTGTCTAATCCTAGCCGCAGCAGCTTCTGTCCCTCTTCTTTTTCCTCCATTTCCTTCTTTAACAAACAGAGGGACACCAAAAAACAACATCCAGGGCCATCCAAATAGCTCAGTGGATTAAAGTGCCTGCAAGCAGGTGCAGGGGCCAGGGGTTCAATCCCCAGGCCTGCCATGCCAGCCCCACCCCCCAGGGTGCAGTGAGATGGCGATTGAGACAGGGCGTGGTGGCGTGCCTGTAATCCCAGTTTGGGAGGCTGTAAACAGGCGGCACACTACGAGTCTGACCTAATAGTGAGATCCTGAACACCCTGTAGAACCTTCCCTAAAAGAAAAAAAGAAAGAAAGAAAGAAAGAAAGAAAGAAAGAAAGAAAGAAAGAAAGAAAGAAAACAACATCCAGCATGAATTGAACAAGCTATTGGGCTTCCGTTCTTCTCGCTTTTACCATGTCCTTTTATTTATGGCCCATCATTTGGGTTTCTATTTACAGTCATCATATCTAATATCCCTTCAAAAGAAATGTGTTTAAATTTTAAAAAGCAAGGCAATTGAGGGGAAAGGAAAGTGCTTTTACAGTGGTCTGTGATGATGTGCAAGGGCCAGGAGATGGCTCAGTAGAATAAGCGCTTCCCTGGCAAGTGCAAGGACCTGAGTTCAATCCCCGGTCCCACAAAAAAAAAAAAAAAAAAAAAAAAAACCATGGTGAGGTGCAGAAGAGACCAAAGCTGTATGGAGGTTGGAGAAAATGTTGACAGAAAACAGCTTCAGGCAACTACACGGGTGAGCATTCACATTTTCAACTTCCAAGTCAAGTTTCTGGCGCAGGAACCACTGAAGCCTCTTACGGAGTACATTTCTTTTTATTCCTTTTTTTCTCCCCTTTTCCTCTCTTCTTTTAGAATTGTGAGAGATTGACAGTGACCAATAAAGTGGGTAGGCGCCAAGTCTCATTTCTAGTCCTTGCATGTGAGGAGGAGGGTCGACCATACTAAACATGGCTATCAAGCAGAACATCAAAGGAAGCCAAAACAGTATTTTTTTATTTAAGTGGTGCAAAAGGGAATCCACTGACTGCCAGTTGCTTTTCCTGCTTGAACACTTGGAATCAAACCAAGAGAATATCAAACAAGCCTCTATCACTTGGTTAGGCCATGCAAACCAGCCGGTGGTTATTAAATAGCACTTGGCATGAAAGAATTTGGAGGAAAATAAAATGTTGACTTCCTTGTCAATAGCTGGCCCTTTAGGCAAAGCTAGACTCAACTGACAAGTCAGAATAATTTTTGGATGTCCAGAAGTAAATCCTGATTTACAATGGCATAGAAGATAAAAGAAAAACAATGGATGGTTGCTAGTGAGTTACACGGACAATATTAAATACTTTCCCCAAATGATGCGATAGTGGGATGGGTTAATCAGTATGCCCAAGCTTTAAAAAGAAAAGAAAGAAAAATGGCAAGTAGTCTCAGTTTCCATTTCAAAATATGATCTTTTTCACCAGCCACAAGGTCTTGGCTATTTATCAAAGTGAAGAAAGATCTGACTTCCGCGGTGGGACCTAGGAAGGAGGAAAAGTAGCTAAACATCCTCTGAACCCCGGATGAATCACCATCAGGTGAGGAGCTTACGTGAGCTGTCACGTCGGTCTGGTGGAAAGCCTTGCGAAGGGCCTGTGTGAGCCCTCTGGCTACACTGAACTTCAAGGATTCGCTGCTCTGCATTCTCCTTTGTGTTAGAAACAGGACTGTGGGGGTGAAACAGAAGCACAGCAGTGAGTGTGAGGTGCAATCCTCATGATGCGCCAGCCCTCTCTCCTCCCGGCCACCGCCTCCCGCAAATTCTGCTCAGACCTGATAAGCAAAGGCCCACCCACGGGAGCATGGGCATGGATAGTGGCTCTGGTGGCCCTGCTGAAGTCGCTAGGAAAGAAGGCTGAGCCACGTGTGTGACCCCCGTGGACTGAGAGCTGGTTGGTGCTTCATTTCTGACCCAAGTTGCCTCTGACCTTGAAAACCAGGCTGTGCAGTGCCTGCCCTGGGGAGGTCTGTATGCAGTGCGGTTCCTCTGACACCATCTGTTATGGGTTAAATCTAAAATGCACCCCACCCCCACTCTCCTGGATCATGGGGGTGCTGTACTTAACAGCGGATTCATCCACAAATGAGTTCAGTAGCCGAATATGCTGTTGGGGGGGGGGGGCTAGGTGGAAGTGGGTCACAGGGGGAGGGGTGACCTGGAAGAATGTAATCTTGTCCCCAGCTCCTCTTCATGCTCTGCTTCCTGGATGCGGTGGACTGAGCACCTATCCCTCTATCATGCCCCTCTGCCATCCTGTTTCTGCCCTGGTGACTGAAACCATAAGCCAAAATATGCATCGCCTCCTTTAATTTGCAAGTGTTGGATATTTTGTCCTAGGATGGGTAAGTGACTAAGTCAGACACCGTCCACTCACAGCCTACTTAGGTGCAGGTCCTGAGCATGGTGCTGCAGCCCATACCAACCCTAAGTCTGGGAGGGGCAGCCCCACCTCATACACAGGCAGGGAAGGAGATGAGGGATGCAGGTCAGGCATCTGGGATCCAATGCGACTGGTGCTATTGGAAGAGAAGCCCAGAACACAGTCAGAGCTTCTAAGCAGAGCATCCAGTCCTGAGTTGGGCAAAGGCTGTTATAGGAAATTGATTCTCCACAGGAATGGATGCTTCAGCTGAGTCCACAGGCTAGTAAGTGTGAGCGGGGCAAGGGAAGGGAATGCCTCCACCCTCCAGCTCCCAGCACTCGGGATGCTGAGTGCGAAGACAGGCGGACGCGTGGGTGGACTTGGTCAAGCCTGTCCTGAGGGCAGTGGGCAATGAGTTTTAAGCAAAGCAGTGCATTCTGTGTTCCCTTGACTGTGGGCTGGAGAACAAGTGAGTGATGTGGGGAGATGTGATGGCAGAGAAATAAACATGACTGTCGTTGCAGAAAAATAGGTGAGCAGTGGTAACTGTGCGCCCTCAGGATGTGGCAGTGGGAACCAGGGCAGAGAGGAGTACCTAGGAGGGAGAAGTGGAAGGAACTTTTGAGTGGTTGGATATAGCTAGGGCTGGGAGGAAGTGAGGAAAAGAGGAGGAAGATGTTTCTGCACAGGGCAGGCTAGGGGGCTGGGCTCACTGCCCCTCAAGGAGGTGTGGTCTGAGAGAGGGGAGGAAGAGTGGAAAGCCAGATGGTATAATTTCTTGAGAAATAGAAAGAGATACTGTATTTTCTGCTCTGCCTAGCTGCACCATTTCCCATTTTAGACAAGGATGTGTCTCGGGATATAATTTCACCTCATTCTTTGTGGGGTGGGGAGGAAGGCGGGATGCAAGCATTCAGTGCTGGCGTGCTCTTTCAAATAATTTGCCTAATGCTTTTTATAGCAAACACTACCACACTATTAAAAGCACCCTGTGCATTCTAGGCCTGCTTTGCTGCCACTAGGGACTGGGGCGAAAAAGATAGCATCCTGCTTTGCTCGTGGTTCGAATGCTGCCTGCCCACATTGTCTTTTAGGAACATCTCCTCTCTAACAGCAAAAAAACATCGGGGGTTCCCATCTTGTGTCCCATAGTACCCGCTGATTAAGAAGCCTGTCTGAATTCAATAGCACACCCCATCATTTTATAGTAAATGAATCACATTATTTATTGATTGGAGACATCACTGATTCATTCATTCTACAGACAAAATAGAGTATACACTGGCATTCTTAAACCACCCAGCAGAAGGACCATGACTCCATGAGGTCCTCTGATGTCAGGACTGAACTTAGGTCCAGAATCACCTAGAATCACCTAATTCTGCTCCTCTCCTCTGAAACCTGATAAAAAGCAGGGTTTCTCAGTAGTGGCAGATTATTTGGGGCTGGATTATTCTTTGCTTTTGAGGGCTCTCCCATGTGTTTGTGAATATTTAGCAGTACCCCACTAATTTCCAGTGGCACCCCTTTACCCAAATGTGACAACCAAGTGTCTCCCAATATGGCCAAATGTCTCCTGGAGGGGAGTGGGTGAGGCCATCCCTGTTTAAGAACCTCTGACCTAAAAGAGAAGTAATTCAGCTGCATCTCCAAGACGAGGTTTGCTGCTTTCAAGTCAAATCAGAAGGACAGTGCCCTCTCACCTGTCTTCACCAGAAGCTTACTGGACATCTGACACTCCAGGTTGGATGCCATTTTGCCGGTCGTGACCATTGCAGTGGACGAAGCAGGAAGAACAGTATCTGTGTTTTCTGCCTGCGGAGATGGCAAGTGGGTGGCCCTCGCGGACGCCGTGATGGATGTCAGTGGGCGAGGGGTGGATGCTCTGGGCATCTCTGGCTTGGTGGGGTTTGGGAGGCTGGTGTGCATGGCTTGTGGTTTCCTGGGGAGGTGCGTTGTGGACAACAGGCCAGAGGCAGTGCCTGCATTCCCCTGCATGGCTGCGTGTGTGCTTACGGTGTGTGCTGTTCTGGCAAACATGTAGGTTGGTGTGAATGGGAAGGCAGTGTGGATGGTCCCTGCAGTCGCCTTTGGATCAGATGCTGCCTTGTTGGTGACATTTCTCACTAGAGCAGTGCTCTTGGCTAAGCCACTGCTGCTGGTGCCCTTAGCAACCAAGGCTGCAGATAGGGCCGGTGGACTTGACTTCCTCAGAAGCAACGTGGCAGCGGTGGCTGCAGTTGGCTCTATCTTGGGTGACACTGAGAAGTCCACTGTAAAGAGAGAAAAGGCAAAGCTTATCACTGGCCCAGAAGACACACATCCTTTGTCCTGGTGATGAATGGACATAGCATATGGGTGTGTTAGCCTGAAAAACTCTGCACTCTGGGCTTGCAATGGGAGCACTTGGTCAATACGACTTTAGGCTCTTTAAATCAGTTAACTGTAAGGAGAATGCCGCTAATAGCAAAGCTGTAGTTGCTAAGAAGGACACAAATTCTGAATACTTCCACACAATGAAGCTGGAAGAGGATCAATGTCACGCCTACTGGGGGCTGCTAACTCACTCCTGAAAGCTGGATTTCTGTGCTGAGCTTGAGGATGCTTTGGCCATGAAAGCGGTCATACCTGTTTTTTGGGTACCAGGAAACAAACTATCTGCATTAGTGGCTGCACCTGTCCATTTCTTGGGGCGCTGAGAAGCTCGCAGCACTCTGGAGGGGGTCCTGGGAAAGGCACTGGTGGATTTAGGAGACTCAGCAGTTGAGTGATATCCCAGGATGCTCTTGAGTGATGTGGAAGCATTGATCCCATGTGATAGATAGATGTCACTGGAAATGTGGGGACCTGTATCTGTCCCATCCGAAAGCATTTCTTGCAAGCTAGCCATAGAAGACAGCCTGAGCCAGGTTAGCCAAAGAGGATGGGTTGGCTGCGTGGGCATCCGTAAATGGGGACTTGACAAAGAATGTCGACTTGAAGATGGGTAATAGTCAATCTTCTCTGTTTGGAAAACTCTGGAATAGCTGTTATGGCTTGTGGGCCAGAGGTCTGTAGGGTTCCCAACCACGGCCACATCTGACTGTTCTTCAGGCTGGTAGGTGCTTGGGCCTAGGATGAGATCCTGAATGTTAAAATGTTCTGCAACGACTGACCGCCCAACAGTATCTTGGAAATCCTGAGATTTTATTGCACTGGCAGCTGAAGATAAACCACTGGGAAGAGGAGTTGGAGCTGAATGAAGGTCCCAACTTGTGGAGTTAACCACGTGGCCACTTAAATCATAATTCGCTTGGTGCTGCAAGCCAGATATTGTTGATTGTGTGGAAAGAGATCCAGTTTGTACCGAAAGAGAACTCCGGAAAACATCTGTGGTTGTTGGCTTGTTCATGTCTCCTATTGTTGAGAAATCAGAGACATCAGAGGAGGAGGGAAACGCTGCTGTCACCTGCTTGGAAGCCGAAGCTGGCAGCTCAGAATGGCCCACAGCAGCTGTGAAATTCTCTGGCTTAGTGCTGGAAAAGCCAGGAGACGGGGAAACCAGCTGGGTGGTTTGAATGACAGGCATGGAAGGCGGTGGTGATCCGGATAAAAGGAGGTTTGTTCTTGGTGTTGCAATGATAGGAGAGGAAATGGGACCAATGCTAAAATCAGAAGTGAATCCATTTACAGTGTGAAGACTCGAAACTTCTTTACTTGGAAAGGTCTGGAGAGGAAGCGTCACACTTGCCATTTCATTTTCCTTTAAAACAGCTGTCCCACTATCCTTTTGCAGGGTCAAGATCTTCGTGGCAAGATGAAATCTGCTCAAGGGAAGCAAGTGTGTGGCTGCAGGAAAACGGGGCACATCTTTATTTTCTTTTTGAGGAGGGGGCATTTCTGGCACAGGGGATGGAGAGGCATGACTTCCTGTGGGCTGCAGGACAGAGGAGGGAAGGTCGATTGTCCTGTTCAGAGGTAATGTAGGAACCTCCCCAGAAGGGATGGCTTTTCCTTGACCTGGTGTGGTGAAAGGCAGAGGAGGAGGCACCCAAGAGGAAGATGCGCGCTCTGCAGAAACCACAGGCCCTCTGGAATTCTCTGGAGCTGCTGACAAATGCGGTGGGTTAGCGGAGCCATTGGCAGGAGGAGCAGGGGCTAGCTTTTTGCTGCTCATTGCTATAGCCACTGATTGTACAGTCTGGAAAAATGAAGGCACAGCCTCTGCTGCACTCTTCAAAGTTGGCAAGGGCACCCCACTGTGCACTTGTTTAACCCCTGCCCTGTGCACTGGCTGGGTGGATGCACGACTTGAAGCCACTTCCAACGTGGACCATGAAGGGGTTCCACCTGGGAGCAGAAGACCTCCAGGTGCAAGGGGAGTGGGAGACAGCTGGCCCAGTTCTGCCATGGAGCTCAAAACCCCAGGTGTGGGTGAGCCTGCTGACAGGGGACCCTCAGCTGGGGACAGCTCAGAGTGCTGCTTTGTTGAGGATCCTGAAAAACCTAGATGAGGGACATTTGTGAAATCCTGGGTAGTTTGGGATGGAGTATGGTTCATATCATCAGAAAATGAGCTCAGGGAACTGGCTACCTTCGGACCTGAAGAGGCAACAGCTTGCGCTATAGCAGGAAAGAATGGCACTTTGGTGAGGGACTCTGCTGGCTTAGAGAAGGTGATGGGATGAGGTGAGTGAAAAGCCAATGAAGAGGATGAAGGTGGAAGAAGGAGGAACGGGAGACTGTCTGACCACAGGGGATGCTTTAGAGAGGAAATCCCTACTGGTGGCTGAGATGGGGGCATGGAACTTGAGGTCACCAATGGGACTGCGGACAATGGGGGAAGCATGCTGGCAAGAGGCAAACCTGACACATCCGCCACTTCTCTTTCCCACTGAGGCCTTGGTTGGACCAGGGACTTGGTGGAATCCTTGGATGGTTCCAGAGAGGCACTATGTTCACTTCCTTGGTAAAGGGAAGAAGAGAAGTCCCCCTGAGCCCTGGTCTTTCGGTGCATCTTGGGCAGAGGTGTCCGGGCCAACTGCAACAAGCTTGTGTTGTCAAGAGACTGTCCCAGCACAGTCTTGACTCTGTCTCCTGCCAAAGAAGACTTGACTTCCGAGAAAGGCCATGTTGGTGAAATTGGTAGCAACTTCCGGTGAGGAAATGACTCTGGGGTCGGGGTGACGCGTAGCTGTAGATTGTCTGTTCCTATGAAACAAAGCATTGTGGTGAGACGGAGTCAGGAAGTGGCTGCAATGAGCAGGGGCCGAAGCTGACGGGTGGGCAAGACAGATGCCGCCTAGGCCACAGGGGACTGTGCCCTTCACAGAAGGCCCCCCGAACAATTCAAACAGTAAATTCAATAATTACAGAATGCCAATGTTGCAGTGACTGCACAGAGCAAGGTTGGTGAGAAGCAGGCTCTGATGAGGCACGCTTAAGAAAAATGCTCAAGATACTAATTTCTTTTCTTTTTGTTTTACAGTAATTGGACTACCTATGAGGCTTGAACTACAGAGCTCATATCCTAGAAAATCCAACACGGATGTGGCTACCTATCTGCCATGATCCATGCCACCAAAACACACCTCATCCAAAAACCTAAAATGCATGACGCTGAAGAAGACCTATGCATCTGAGTGTGAATGGCTCTTTTAGGTTCCTATGATGTCCCCAGAAAAAATACCTGAGGTTGCCTATGATTGGAAAAATGGCTCCAAGGAGACACATTTTTCTTCTTAGATTTAAAAGGACTCCTGATGCCATCATCCATTCTGTGTCAAGAAGCAAAGATTTCTTTTGGCTTCAGCAGATTCAGAAACGAGTCACATTCAAACCCAAGATGGGAGACACCACTCAGGAAGCTGGGTGTCACTCTAAGCACCTGTAGAGACCCGAGGTGTCAGCACTAATGTGTGAGACCAGGAGAGTAAGGCAGGGAGGCTGGCACACAGCTCCCAGGGAAAGAAAGGAGGGAAGGAAATCCTAAGGAAGCTAGGAATTTCACACATCCGGCCGGATGATCCCCCTCTGCACTGTTTTTTAGGGTTGATAATGCAGAGGTGGTTACTAGTGTCCTTATGTAATACTTTAAAAATAAACGCGAAGGAAAGATGCTTCTAGAGCTCTCTACCATAACTAGCTGAAAACATTACAACGACATGATAGGAACAATAAGCCAAGCTGTGAAGTCAGAAGGTCTGAGCACACGTGCAACCTCAGCCACCTGGAGCTGCATGAGCCAATGCATAGTGCCACGTGCGGGGCGGGAAGGAACACACTTAACCGTCTCCACAGACTGTGGTGAGGAGCTAATGAAATGACAGAGAAGGCAGAGGAGCACTAGATGAACAAGCTGCCTGTCCTTACAGGCTCCAAGCCCCTGTGTTCATTTAATGAAGGAGGATGCTGTGGTCCAGAGGGGACGTACTTTGCCAGCAGCTACATAACCGATCAGAGACAAGAGCAGGTGCAGACGCAAAGGCTCCTTGCTTCTAGTGCCTGCTCTCTCTCTCTCTCTCTCTCTCTCTCTCTCTCTCT